GTCATGTCTGCTTATGAGAGCTGAGTGGTATTTCCAGATAGTTAAGGCCTGGGGCCTCTCCCATTTTCCAGGAGCCCATCACAGGCAGCTGTGATGGAGAGCCCCGCCCAAGGCTGCCCCGCTCACACCCATAGACTTTACCTAAACAACTCAGTCTGCTAGTTTGGTACACTGCTGAGTGACCCAGGGACTTGGGGTGGCACTCAGGTCAGCACCTTTTTAGAGAGGAGTGCCTTGTGCTGACTGCCCAGGCCTGTCCAGCACTTGGTGCCCAGCTCTGCTCTGGGGCACAACTTACTCTCCACTTGTTCCCGCAGGGGTACTGCCTCAGAAGGGGAGGGGCTGGGGGCTGACCAGGAGCACAAAGAAGACACGTTTGATGTCTTCCGCCAAAGGATGATGCAGATGTACAGACACAAGCGGGCAAACAAGTAGGTATGTGCACATGCAGATGCTGTGACAGCTGTGAGCCAGCCTGGGGCGCAGCTGTTTCTCCCAGAAAAGTCGATGCTCCCTCCCCCAGACATACACACGCAAACACCAGAACCCAGGAGTTCTGGAAGGGAAGTAGGAGTTTTTGGATGCAGGAGTCTGCAACTTGCTGCCTCCTAGGACTGGCTGAAGGAATGAGCTGAGTGCATCTGTGTGTGGCCTTCCCACCCGGAATCTGGGTCAGTGGTGTGCACTGGAACTGTGCTCATGGAACAGGCTGCCTGTGGCTTCTCAGTTGCTTAAGTTGTCTCTTACAGATGAGGGCCGCCAACAGGAAACATGTTGTTCCCCAGTCGGGAGTGGACTTGCTGTCCCAGGAGGTGGTGGACAGGCAGTGCTGTGGGGGTGGCGGCTGTCCGAGTCCCTTTCTAGGGTCCTTAGGTTCTTCTCCTTCTGAAGGGGGTCAGCCTCATCAATATCCTCATCTCTTCAACTCTTTTAACTCCTCTCTCGCCACCCCTAATTTTCAACTCAGTTTTGAACAAAATTGTTCTCTTTTTGAGTGGTTCAAAAATAATGAGAGATGGAAGCCTGAAGCAGTTTCTCTAATCCTTGTTCTGACCCGGAGCCCGGCTCTTGCTGAGGACCGGCCAGGGAGCGCCAGGGTCTGGCACGAAGGTGGCTGGCTTAGCTTTTCTTGAAGAAAACAGAATACGCCATTTCAGATATGCTGTTGATTGTTTCATTTCCTCTAAGTGATTTTAGCAGCAGGCACTGCAGATCTTCCTTAGTTCCCTCTTCAGAAGCCGTGCTGTCCTCCAGCCCCTGTGACAGGTTTTCCAGCCCAAGGGACCAGCTCTGCAGAAGGGCTCTTGTCTGCAGGCAGGATGTAGAAGCAATTCCAGATCCTGGGTTCTGACTGTTCTCCAGAGTGTAGGTGAGGTGCGAACTGCCAAGCTTCAGAAGCTCGTGGAGCAGGTGGAGAGACTTGATGTTATTTAGGAACCTGGTATGGGTAATGCACCTGAGAGGCAGACAGAGTCTCAGTCTAGCAGTGTGGCTGCCTTCAGTGGGGGAATCGCCAGCAGCTCGACGCCACATGTCTGCATGTCTCCTCAGAATCCACAGAGAAGCCACAGCGGGGTCTCCTACAGAGGGGCTGGGGCAGGCCCTCAGGACTCCCAGCTTCTGCCCACTTGGCTTTGTCAGTGAAGAGACTGGAGCCAGGGTGGAGGGAGTGGGGCTGCAGCTGGTTGTCATTTCAAGAGTCTGATCCACCTTCAGTCTCCCTGGCGTTGCTTGCTGTGAGTAGGTGTGGATCCTTCCTCATAGTGTCTGTTGATGTTTTAAATAAGTGTGAAAATCTGGGCTCCCACTGAGACAACGAGGCTGGAGCAGTGAGTTTCCGCCTGAGTCCAAGGACAGAGAGGGTTGAAGAACCCTGTGTTTCTGAAGCTGCCGTCCCCACATTCTGGCTTAATTGCTGTGTGAGGCCACACCCAGCCCCCATGCTGTCTGAGGCCACATCCTGCCCCCATGCTGCTTTTCTTTGGGTCAGGTGTAGCCACTGAGTAGAGGGATCCCTGTGGCTGTCGACTTCTGGAGGCTTCTGCGGCTTCAGCAGCCATTGTCTGACTTTGACCATGGAAAAGTTAGGGTGTTGACCGTGAGGGTGAGCCACGGTCCACAGAGTCGGCCAAACGAACAGGCTGTGGGGGTGGGAGGTACAGGGTCTGTCCACTGCACTCGCTTTCCCAGCCCTCTTGGCACATTTCCTACTGGCCTGGTGGTGGCAAATCTGGACCTTGGTATCTTTTTTGAAGGTGCCTGACCCCTCCCTACCTCCCTGGAGCCCAGCACCAAGGGAGTGGCTCTGTGGTTTGCTGTTCCCTCTGCCTTCTAGTTCACTTTCTGAGCACGTTCATTTTTTTGTGCTTTAAGTGAAAGTTTACAGTTCACGTCAGTTTCTCATATAAAAATTTAAACACACATTGCTGTGTGACTATAGATGCTCTCTCTATAATGTGACAGCGCACTCCTCGTTTCCATCCCGGATTTCCGGTGTCCATTCGACAATCTCTTGTCCCTTTTTGCCTTCTTGTCTCTCCTCCGGACAGGAGCTGGTTGAATGGACATGGGAATCTCTCCTGCTCCATTTAGTCTCATGTATCTACTTAAGCTAAGAAGCACTCTCTTCACGAGTATAATTTTATGTTTCATAGTCCAGTCTAATCTTTGAAGAGTTGGCTTTGGAAAGTTTCAGTTCTGGTCTAACGGAGAGTCTGGGGCTATGTTTTCCGGGGTCCCTCCAGTCTCCTCAGACCATTAAGTCTGGTCTTTTTACTAGAATTTGAGTTCTGCACCCCACTTTTCTCTTGCTCCATCAGGGACTCTGTTGTGTTCCCTGTCAAAGTGGTCATTGGTGGTAGCCAGGCAGCATCTAGTTCTTCTGGTCTCAGGCTGATGGAGTCTCTGGTTTATGTGGCCCTTTCTGTCTCTTGGGCTAATGTTTTCCTTCTGTCTTTGGTGTTCTTCATTCTCCTTTGCTCCAGGGAGGCTGAGACCAGTTATGTCCGAGCCCATTCATTTTTGACACTATACGCTTTTCTCCGTAAATGAAATAGGTATAGATTTCCCGAGGGTGGGTGCTCTCTGACTCAGCCAACTTATTCTCCTGGTTTGTGCTGAGAACCTTGCACTCGACAAAGGGAAGCACGTGGAATGCCCCCACAGATACAAGAATGCTGGGCTGAGAGATGGAGTGACGTTTTCTGGCGACCACTGTCAGCCTTGGCGCTGTGACCCTCGGGTTCCTCTCACACCCTCGGTGCACCCATGCAGACATGTAGGCACCCAAGCAAGCACAGCGAGTGTGTGTGCAGCACTGTCAGGGTCACATGTCTTCTCTGATTCCAGGTCTCCCGAGGAGATGCCGGGCATCGGGAAGTTCTGGCCGGCCGCTTGGTGCTGGCGCTGTTCGTCTCTGTCGCTTGGATCCCTGGGGGTTTCAACATGTTTGGTCCTTGGTAAACCTAGACAATGTGGTGTTGCAAAGGGACATTGTAGTTGTGAATGTTGTTCATCTCGTAGCAGTTGCAATAAACGTAGAGGAAACCGAGCTCTGTGGTCTCTGTGGACACATCCTTAATGTCAGACCAGCAGGACTTGGGGAGGACCTCTCATGTCCAGGGACACCCCAGCTGTGGACCTCTCCCTCTTGGTCTCTTAAGTCACCAATGAAGACCTGATGTTGGGGGATGGTCCCACCAAGCACAGTGGTGGGGGTGTGAGCACAGAAAACGGCTGAGAGGTGGGGAGGCCTGCTCCCACTGCCCCTAACACCCCACCCCCTACAGGGCCTCACCCACTCTGGAGGCCCTGTGACATACTCTGCTGCCCGCTGCCCCCTACCCCCTGACTGAGGAGCCTGGGCTCTCAAGGATCTGTAAAGCCCCTATTGCCATAGTGCCACCCACAGTCGCCCTGGGACTCCGGGTACAGAGTCGGGTGGGGGGGGCTTTCAGGCCCTGCAGGGTGATTTGGTGCAGTGTGTGGCCATGTTTAGGTCACTTGATGCTGCATCAGAATTAGGATACCATGCAGTGGCACTTCGGGAGCTGCTGCAGAGCCCCTGGCCTCCTCTTTGTCCGGTTCCTGACGCTGTGACCTTGATTGGAAGCCCTTCTTGGTCAGGTGGGGGCTGGGCTTGGGGGCTGTAGGATGCAGTATTCCAGATGGCTGTGCAGGTGAGACGCAGACAGGTATACACTCAGCCGTGTTCCCCTCAGGGCCGCTCCCTAAAAAAGTCACCCCAACCCACAGCACCTCTCAGGAGTTGAGGCATCAGTTTGGGAGTGTGTTCGCCATCCACCACCCTGCCTTTATCACTGCCTGAGGCTGGCCAAGGTCACCTAGGAGGGGAAGCCAAGTGTGCCCCTAATGGCCTGGGAGGCACCTTCCTGCCCATCTTCCCAGCCCTGCGCCTCCTGTGTCCCCTCCTTGCATGGCCTTCCTAGGCCTAGCTATCCCCTGGGGCTCCACAGGGACACCAGCCCTGCTGTGTAGGAGGCAAGGGGTGGTCGGAGGTGCCCCAGACACTCACGCCACCTGTGGTTTCAGAACAGGCCTCCACTATGTGTGTGTACTCCCACGCCTGTCTGCTTTTATATGTACATACGTGCACACGTGCATACATGTACACACGCACCTACACGTATGTGTGCCCATGTGTTCTCATACATACACACACATATAACACATGAATACATTTTCTTTGTGGAAGAATCCAACAGAAATTGTTTTGGTTATCTAGTGCTGCTATAACGGAAGTATCACAAGTGAATGGCTTTAGCAAAGAAATTTATTTTCTCATAGTTCAGTAGGCTTGAAGTCCAAATTCAGGGCATCTGCTCTAGAGGAAGGCTTTCTCTCTCTGTTGGCTCTGGAGGAAAGGCCCCATCAATCTTCCCTTGTACTAGGCGCTTCTCCGTGCAGGAACCCTGGGTCCAAAGGACACTCTGCTCCCAGCGCTGCTTTCTTGATGGTATGAGGTCCCACTGTCTATATCTGCTCGCTTCTTTCTTTTATATCTAAAAAGAGATTGGCTTAAGACACTGTAATCTTGTAGAACTCATCAGTATAACTGCTGGTAATCTGTCTCATTAACATCGCACAGTGATAGGATTTACAGCACTCAGGGAAATCACATCAGATGACAGTATGGTAGACAATCCTACAATACTGGGAATCATTACCCAGCCAATTTGACAGATATTTTTGGGGGACACAATCCACGACAGAAACCAAAACCCAGATACTTGCAAGACAGAGCACCTAGGCCCCTCCTCCCTGCCCCCCACATCCTAAAACGTAGAATGAAGCATCCTCACCATGCACTTGGTTCAGGGGCTCGATTCCTCACCCAGCAGTGAAATAACATTTAAGTAAGTAAGAGTAGGTGAAAATCAAAAGGTGCGGAGATTATCTTGGCCACCAGATCTCAGTCTCCTTCATGAAGAGAGCCACTTGGTTTTTTTGAAGATAAAAGATGTTTTTTTATAATTTGTATTTTTTTTATTATGTATGAGGTTAAACTTCATTTACATATGTTAAAGTACAATTAAATATTTCTTTTCTGTGAATTGTATACAGGTTTTGTTCATTTTTTTAGGTGTTTGGTCTTTTTTGTTTATTTATTTATTTTATTGTACTTCAGGTGAAGGCTTACAGAACAAATAGTTTCTCATGAAACAGAAGTACACGTGTTGTTTTATGACATTGGTTAACAACCCCACAACATATCAACCCTCTTAACTTCTCAACCATTTTTTTTTTTTT